ACTCTTTATAATATTCTAGTCAAGTATCTGTAAGTATCTTTGTTCGTATTAACAGATTTATCTGGGTAACCATGGCTATAAGTCCCTAGTAAGACATCATATTTCTCCTGCTATCTACGCACGATACGTTCGTTTTCTCCCAGTTACTTGGAACAGTAAAATAGGAATAAGAGTAGAACTCTATGGATGTCGTGAAGGTGGGTTTTTATGTTAATTACTRTACTCTTAGCTTTATCTGTTCACGATCTTCATGTCCATTCAATATTCCGATAGAACGAACTTGCAGCTTTCCAGTAGGACTAGAAGATGGTCGAGTCAATCGAGATGCTATCACTGCATCGTCAGTTAAAAACACCAAATGCACGACAAACCACGCCAGATTAAATTCTGAGGGAGCCTGGTGTCCAAATAAGAAAGCCAATCAATGGCTACAGATTCATCTCCCACGTAAGACGATGATCATGAAGATCGCTACACAGGGAAATCAGGTATATATTTATTATGTATGATGGATATAGAATTTATATATTCATGTCCTGATTGGCGATTTATCATTCCTCTTTTAAAAAGGATGCTGACCAGTGGATAACGAGTTACCGTTTATCGTACGGCTTGGACGGGAAGCACTGGAATTTACATAGACACCAAGAAGGAAAAATACGGGTAATTGTTCGATAATACGACTTAGTGTTACATGCTAAAAAGAATTACTTGAGGAAGTAAGTTTGTAAATTTCCAACGTCTTTTCTTTAGGTATTCTCAGGGAACGCTGACCGCAACTCCATCGTCATTCACAAGTTGTTCAATCCTTTCCAAGCTCGTTACGTGAGGTTTCTGCCCAAAACCTGGCACGGTTCTGCGGCCATGAGAGTCGAGGTGTATGGATGCCACGATAGTAAGAGATATATCGAAAAAAATGTTTCTATTTTGTCTCTAAAAATGGTCCGTGGGCTCATTCGTGCGCCAGCATCGTTCTTACCCAGGCTCTTCCCTTAGCCTGAGTACGAGGAGCTCCGATAGAAGATGAAAGTGTCAATGACAATAATAATTTATCTGTGAAAGTAAAATAAATGTGTTCGTAATAACTTTTTTTCTGCCTGTGATAGCCTATTTCTGCAGGAATCCCCTTGGTTTAGAGGATGGACGAATACGTGATGGCGTACTAGACTCATCGACACATCTTGATGTTAAACATGGGCCAACATTCAGTCGTCTGTTCTCAAAAAAACAACTACACCTGGTGTACCGCTGCAAACAATACTGAACAATGGCTACAGATTGATCTACGTATTACTAAGACAGTGACAAAGATTGCCCTACGGGGGAGTGGGTCAGGATGGGTAAAGAGCTATGCCTTGTCGTACAGTGTATCCGAGTCTCACTGGGTGAAGTACCAAAGAGATGGTCGAGTGAAGGTAAACTTCGAAAATATTATTCAAAATTCTATTTTCTGCAAAGCTGCAAGGGATTTGGGGCCACTTTTAGAGCATTTGGCCGATAGAAAACGAGAAGAGAAGAGAAGAGAAGAGAAAGGAAAGATTTTCGGAGGAAGAAAGGAAAGGTGTAAAATGAGTGACCTTTTATATTATATTATATCATATTTACCATATCCTATTTTAGTTATTTATGGTACTATACTTGCTAAAAAAAAACGCCAATCCCTACACATATTTTCTATTTTTTTTAGTGTACATATTATATATGATTTTATAATTTTATCTATAATTAATATATTTCCGTTTCATTTCATTAGTTTAGTTAGTATCCTCAATTAGCTAAAGCTAAATCCATAGAAACTTTCAATAAAGTTATTATTATAGTTGTTATGGAAAAAATATTGTCATTCTTCTGTATTATACTGCACAGACATTCCTTGGTAACTATGATGCAAATTCAGTGGTTTATCAAGAGATCAACCCCGCCATTCACGCTCGCTTCGTTCGTATCCAGCCCTGCTCGTGGCGCGGCCGTATTTGTTTGAGGACTGAGCTTTATGGGTGTCTTGTTGAGGTGAGTAAAAATTCAATTATAAAATAAGACGGTATTGTAAGTAACGCCTAGCTCAGTACGGAATATCTTTCTTAACCTTGTTTAATTTCTTCTTTCAAAAATATCCCCCCCCCCCCCCCCCCAATTTTCTGGTTTTACATATTGTTGTCATATCACTGTGCGTCCGTAGCTTATAATATTGATTTCTCATGAGGTGTGAAAAAACAATGAAGTTATATCTATGAAACCTTGCAATTGAAGAAAGATCTCTTGTAATTGAATTCAAGTTTTCCAGAATTATCAAGTCATATGACACTCATTAGGAATGAAATTTCAAAGACTACATGGTCACGTGGTTTTGAGACCGCCTAACGCATCTAGTTGATCTGRAAAAAAAGTTAGCCAATCAGAATCGAGAAAATTTGCAAAACTGAGGTGTCACTTTTCCTCCTGAAAATATGTATTGCCATTCCACGAAATAATAATAAAAAAACCGTTGCTAATAAGCGCTTGATAACAGTGACGCAATAGTACATGAGTTTTCTATTTTTATTACAATTGCGGACATGCATGTTTTTATACTTTGCTGGTCAATTTTCACAGGCTTCATGACACCTCAGTTTTGCAGTGACGTCACTTTCACGTTACTATTTCAAATCAGCTGGATGTGGTCCAAATGCTCTCCTTCCTATGCAAAGTAAATTGCGAACGGAGTGTTGATTGTTTTACTAACTCATGACTCTTTTTCTATTCACAGGAAATAGGCGAATGATGTCTGAAGGTGGTTTTTTTTTTGACATGGGCGATAGACAATATCCTGATATAGATTACTTATATAACCATGTTAAAACCAGATAAGTTCATTTTTTAAGGAGAAATAAACATGAAGCTTTAGTTGTTTTCTGATTTTAACACTTCAATAATCTAGCCGTTCAGTGTCAACATGGAAAAATTGCGAAACTTCTATAAAATGGAACAAATCCACTTGGGCCTAATGTTTTCCCATTTCAGGCCACGTGTCATTCCCTTGAGAATAATATTATTTGTTTGAGTTGTATCCATATTCATGTGTCTTCTCATGTGCAAACGTTAAACAAAGAAATAATACTCTAGGAAATGACACGTGGTTTGAAATGGGCAAGAGTGGATTTCATTGTTTATGATAGTAATTTCATTTTTGAAACTTTTCGTCATTTGTTTTCCATAAAATTTGTATAAGTTTGTTTTTGTAATTGAATTTTGAGCTCTTGTCTTTGCTTTGGATTATTGCTTTTCAGGTTTATTTACCGTTCTTGGCGTGTGTTTTTCATTTGTTTCGTTGAAATGTTTTGATTCTCTCCTATTCTTTTTGATTTTTTAACTTTTTTCATTTGTTCACGAAGGTTTAAACTGCAGAATATATTTGAGTTACAATCTTAACATTTTCACACGGCTGTTGACTTTGGGGTCTAGTCAAATAAAAATTTACTTAAAGGCAAGTTTATTAATATTTTAACACGAAATTGCCTAAAATTGATAAAAATCTAAATGACTGCTATCGTTTGTAAGATATGTCAAGTTCAAATATGACATGAGCTCGGATTAAGTTAAATTAARTTAATTCAAAAACTCTCCAAAACCTTTGCTCATAGATCTGTATTACAAAGTTTACCCCAGTAAAGCAGGTGTTTCGTTTTTGTATACTGACAATAATGTTATATTAACAACTATCGTTGATGGTTTTAGGTTGACAAGTTTAATGATGAAGTTGTTTTAGTGTAAATACTCAATTTTTCTTAAAATACCATATAATGAAACTATATTTATCTGATTTACTGAGATGACAAGCTAGTGTCTAAAGGAGCAGGTATCTCTGGAACAGTGTGAAATGAGAAACAGCAGCTAGTTCTTTACAGACTATCAAGACGAAGCAGAAGCAGAAGCAGAAGCAGAAGCAGAAGCAGAAGCAGAAGCAGAAGCAGAAGAAGAAGAAGAAGAAGAAGAAGAAGTAAAAAAAGAAGAACATAGAGGGATCTAGAATAGGATCTAGAGTAACAACAACGTCAGTGCAACAACAC